CCCTATAAACAAGTAGAGAAGCTGATAGCTAACAGCATGGATCCTGATCAGACTACGCGGATGCTACGTTAAAAAAATAAAATATTTGAGAAGTGTTATTTGAAAATAACCAAGACTTACAAAAAATAGTTTATTTTATCAAGCAAATAGAAGCTGTCACATATATGTTAAAACAAGTCTCTTTTTCCTACCTTTTATTAGTGACCAAAACATCCAGAATAGGGCTATTTTTTCATATAAAATCAAATTATCTCCTATTTATAATTTGATGTTTATTTTCATCTTTAATTGTTATGGTTAATACATGCTGGCTAAAAATTACAGTACAAAAAGATTTTTTATTTTCAACCTTTTATGAAAAATAGCACTATTATTAGTATTTCAATCACTAGGGCCTACTTATAAAAGTTTGAAAAGTTTATTAAACATACATTAATCAGGGCTCGAGCTAGTGGGCGATTCGGGCGAAATAGTCGCCGAATTCCGTCTGACTTCGCCGACATCCTACATGAAAGCGAAGATGAAGTCGCCCAATTTTATTGATCCATTATTGAAAATTACCAACAATAACAATAACTGTGAATAACATGTTGAATGTGTTTGCTTTGTTTACCCTCGCCGCCGGAAAAAGGGACTGTCATGCATCTCAATCAACGCGAAATGTCATTAATCCGTTTGTTTACCAACATGTCATAAAAGTCTAATTAACAGACACTCGAGGGACAATTAGACTCCGCCCACGGCGAGATTACCGATACGTGCGAGAAACCAATCATAATTCACGTTTTAATCGAGGCGACATTATTAAACCAATCATTAAATCGCTAACATACAACTACCCGTAACAATTATTTATGATGGATGGATCAAACGTCAATTAAATTTTCACTATCAAATGATTGTCAGAATTAAGAGGACCACTCGACATATAACTGTAACGGTAATTTTCATAATGAAAGTTATGATAACCTTTTTTGTCGACGAGTTTAATTTGATAAAATTGACGGCGTATTACACTGTATTTATTACAAATGAAGTTAAATTAAAGATCGTTTCTTTCGTTATCTACTTTCATTTTCTTTACAATATAAAAGAATATGAATATAATGTCCGGCGCAAGCTTTTTAATAGTAAATCAGAAGAGAATAACTGTTAATCCACCCATGATATGATCCATGATAGGAATCAACTATGGCTTTTTTTTTATCTTAATTTAATGCAATGGTTGCATTACATGATACTCATTCTTATTACTTGTTTCAAACTACTTTTAAATTAAAATTGAATATTCTGTTGTAACACAAATCCAATTCATTTAATAAGATATGTACAGTGAGTCAACATAATTGCGATAACATACAACAAACATAGATAAATGAATCTCCTCACTTCTCCCTAAAGTCTCCCCACTTCTCCCTAAAGCAGCTGGAGGGAGAAGTGACTTCTCCCTGAAATTTTGAACCTAGCTTGAGCCCTGTTAATATTTACACAGCAAATACTAACCATAACATATGTAAGTTACAGTTTGAACTTTCTTTTTTATACTTTAATATAAATAATAATGTTTATATTTGTTATTGGCGTTCATATTCCGGTATCGTTCTGGTCACAATTATTTACAACTAATTAAATTCAGAAATTCATTTTCTTTTATTCAAAGACATGATACAAGTATATTATAATGAATCCGGGTCAGCTCGGCCCTAAAACGTACTCGGCCCTATTCCAACTCGGCATGGGTCAACTCGGCCCACTTTTCAATTATTAATATTTAGGTTTGTGTTATAACACTATTTTTTGTAATTATTGTAATTATTTATATTACACGGATTGACAGTTTCGAACTAGCAGCAGACAAGCTTTTCTTATCAGTAGAATTGCGAGTAAAGATAAACGATTGCGTATCTCACTGTATTTCTACATATTTAACTTCTGTTCTGTTCTTTATTACTTTAACTAGATAATGCACAGACAAGGTCTTTCTATTTGATAGAAGAAAAAAAACGTATGACACGTGCAAATGAATTTCGGCAACAATCAATGCCCTTATACGGAAGATTTAATTAGAAGCTTATGATATTAAGTTAACATGTTTTTGTTTCATTTTTTTTAAATATTACTTTACAAACACATTTTATTAGAATCTAGATCTATATTAATTTTATCGAATCTGCAAGACAGATAAATAACATTTTTTTTCTAAATATACTTTATTTCAGAAGAAGTACAATGTATAATTATATAGTAATAAGATATTTCTTATTATTCATTTACCTTAACAACATGCAAAGCAAAGTTATTATGTTATATATATTTTTGTAAAGTGGGCCGAGTTGACCCGTGCCAAGTTGGTATAGGGCCGAGTTGACTCTTTTCCTATAATAATGTCTGATAACGAAAATAATCCCAAAAGTGCTGATCTTTAAGACAATAATATTCATATTCAGTTCTCCCATTCATATTCGCTAATATGAGTTCATATTCGGTATTTAGACATACCGGTCAAACCCCAGACTTTGTGTCACTGGTAAAAGTAAAATATCGAGCTAGTAAAACAAAAGTCCAGTGTACATAAAAGCAAGACAGGTGTGTACACATTACAGATTTTCTTTCTATATATATTTGCACATGTGATACATGCAGAAGATAAAAAAATAGTACTTTATTAAATATTTGATGCTGCAGAATAAAACAGTTACAATATTTTCAATTTTAACACAAAAAATTGTAAATAGATTCTACTAGACAGCTGAAGTATTTCCACTCAAGCAACAGGTTTATAAAACCTTAAAAAGTAATTGATTCATTAACGGTTATTTTTAACAATAACAATTGCTATATTTAAACGGAAATATTCTTTCATTTATTTTTTTATTGATAGTTTTCCCTTTTTGACAAATTTTGTACATGTTCAATCTTGAAACATTTTTAAAAAGTTTAATTGCGACAAATTGCAATTTCATATTACATTTAAACAAATATGTCTAACAGATAGTTGTGCAACAACCTTAATTTTCTTTAAATTCATAACATAAAAAGATTAAATCCGCTTAAAATCATAAATCTTTACGTTTGTTTTGAAAATACTACGGAATGTCCGCCATTTTCGTCAAGAAAAACAATTTCGGGATATGTTTGCCTTTTACCTTATTCACACTGAGAATAAATACCGCAAAGTTATAAAACGACATAAAAGGTTGATAACTAGGCCTACATCTACATGGAACTATCCAAATTCCGATCTATATATCTGTACCCTGATGAAGGCTAGCTATTGAATAGCCGAAACGTAGGTCTTAAAAAAAATTATAGAAACCTGACCCACTTTGTTTCGTGTGTTTCACTTTCCTTATTCTTTAAATTTTTATTAAATAATAAAAGAGTTAACATTCAAATTTGTATGCATTTTACTGTTATTTAGAAATAAATACAATAACATATCATTGAAAATGATGTATTCTTATTTCTCCAAAACAATGTAGTATTCACAATGGCATGCGATCACGCTTTAATTCTAACTGTACTATTACTAATACGAAATATCAGCATAGAATTGAACAATATCAATGATGATCAATCTTTATATATAGCTTATAATTTGTGACGGATCCCAAGTTTAGTGTTTGGCTATTGAATTGTTAATTGTTTTATTTATTTTTTTTTGGTTCAGTCGGTTCTATTGTGTTTTTTTTTTGCACCTTCAGGCCCTTTTTTTACTGTATTCTTTACTTCTATTTCTTATTCAAATGACATTCACACTATGAATCAGGAAGTAGATACGGTCATATTTTATGATATAAATGCCGACGATTGACCATTGATACTATATTTCTAAACATTAAGAGGTGATATAAAATCGATAATTTCTCTTTAATTATATACATGTATATTTTAATTTTCAAGCATCAACAATATTTTCATTTGAAAAATAAACAACGATTTTGCTAAAACAATTTTGTTAATTGCATGTATACTCAAATGTCTTTTTTCTTCTTCATATGTTCTGAGACTACTCTTTTCTTGTTACGTCTCGATGTTCATTTCTTCTCCTTCTTGATTACCATCTTCTTCTTCTTCTTCTTTGTTGTGCATTTTCTAAGACTTTATAACACTTTGCATTGGGCTAAATAGCTGATCACATTTCGAAGTTAGAATAAAAATAAACGCACGTTCGAAAATAAGTTTTTCAAACAGCAGGTACAACATCATTTTGATTCAACATTTTCTTCCACATCAACTGCATAAATTCTAAACTCGGAGCATTACCAACAAGAAGATTGCATCGCGTGGTTTCTGACCCAAAGCAGTCTAAAGAATTATACGTGTGCAGTGACAATAAATCATGCATATCATAGAGGTTTCTATTAACACCGATTTTATCAGTTAACAATCCATACACAAAGAAATCATCTATCCAGAAGAATGGCATATCACGAGCAGCTTCATATAATTCTGAAGCCATCTTTGTTGTCATGGAAATGAAGAAACCGTGACAATAGTTCAAAGGAAAATAACTAAAGTGCTCTAATTCTTTCTCATTAACTTTCCACTTACTGTCTTCGTTCCTTTGAATGACACTAGTGTTTGCACCTTGTCGCTCACAATATATGATATTTTCTATGTTATCAAATGTCTTGTGAAAGCTGGAAAACAGTTTAAAAGTGTTTATAAACACATCGTCGTCCACTTTTAAAACCCGGCTTTCACCTAAGCAAAAGTCTCTCACCCAGCGTAATCCAAGCACAGCCTTATGCGTCAAATTCTGATAGGTATCGATAAATCTTCCTTGTATTATATCTCTATATTTGTCATTTTCACGTTCTATTGCCATTTGTATCTTGTTTTCAGTCAAACCTAATATAAAAACAATTTTCAAATTCTTATGTTTTAGTGCAGTGACGTTTCCCCATGTATTTCTTATGCCTTGTCTCCTTTTAAAATTTTCAGTAGCTGAATGTATTAGAACAATAACGTCTACATGATTGATTTTTCTGCAAATATCACTGTTTGAAATCACATAAGGATTGTCTGATAGTGGAACAAGCTTTTGTTGTGGATATGGAATCCAGTCCAAATATTTATCTTTTCGTGCGTGTGTTTCGTTAAAAGAATTTGAAGTATTTTTGGTACTTAGGGTTTGGTTACTTCGTGTTTGTTCGGCGCTTACATGATTGAAGCCGGAATTGTTTTTACTTAAAATATACGACCTACGTATGTCATTACGTTTACAACAGGGGAGGTTATGTACCTCCGCAGCAAGTCTCGCTAATCTTGTAGTGTCATTTACAGTTAATATTATGACAAATAACATTAGACATACACAAACAGACTGGATGAGTCCTCCTCCAAATTTCAGGTACAGCTTTAGCATATTTCTCGCCATCTTCGTCTATAATGTGGTAACTCTGTAGAGAATTTAAATATACAGATTACATAATTGCTATGCACATAATTACCAGAATATTCAGTTCACATATTCTGTTTGTAGTAAAAAGAAAAATAGGTTGCATAAATTATTTACATATTTTGTTATGATGTAAACAACAAAGTTATTTTAAATCCGCATTTAAGTTTTCTTCTTTGTCTTAACTAATGTTTCGAAAAAGCTAACTAATTGAGATTTTTTTTTATAAAAATCATATCCTGAATAACTTCACAGAAAAATCTACTTTTATACCAACTTCTTAAAGTTGAAGCCCGGTTAATATAAGCTTTAAGCATATGTAAACATCTCTTAAAGCATATTTAAAGACGCTTCATTGAATTAACCAGTATTTGACATGTATTTGACACATGGATGTGACCCTTGTATGGCTAGGTTCACGACCTCATTGTTTAGAGTGCGATACCTTTTAAAACACCTTTTCC